CAGAACCCCCGACAGCCCCGGGACCCCCCGCACCCTCAGAACCCCTGATAGCCCCGGGACCCCCCGCACCCTCAGAACCCCTGATAGCCCCGGGACCCCCCGCACCCTCAGAACCCCTGATAGCCCCGGGACCCCCCGCACCCTCAGAACCCCCAGCACGCCCCAGTCCCGCGGCATCCCTGGTATCCCCGGTGCCCCCAGCCCTGCCAGCACCCTCAGGAATTCCAGTGTCTCCCGGTGCCCCCCCGTGCCCCCCCGTGCCCCCAGCACCCCCAGACACTCCGGTGCCCCCAGCCCCTCCCTCGCCCCCCTCCCCGCGTTGCCCCCCCCCCCCGCAGCCCCCGCGGTGCCCCCCGGTGCCCCCCCAGCCCCCCCTTGCCCTGCAGTGCAGTTCTCCACCGACGGTCACTCCGCCGCCTTCTCCATCCGCATCCGGCACCCGCCCACCCCCCGCCTGTACGGCCCGGCCGGGACCCCCGGGGACGGCGACGGGGACGGGGACGGGGACAGTGAGAGCGCCGGGGACAGCGCCGGGGACGGGGGTGAGCACGGGGGGGGACCCCGCACCGGCCCTGCCTGTGTAACCCCAAACTGGCCCTGCCCGTGTCCCCCCAAACCGGCCCCGCCTGACCACCCCAAACCCACCCTGCCCGAGTCCCCCCAAACTGGCCCTGCCCGTGTCCCCCCAAACCGGCCCTGCCCGTGTCCCCCCAAACCGGCCCCGCCTGACCACCCCAAACCCCCCCTGCCCGTGTCCCCCCAAACCAACCCTGCCCGAGTCCCCCCAAACCGACCCTGCCCGTGTCCCCCCAAACCAGCCCTGCCCGTGTCCTCACGCTACCACTGCTCCCAGTGCTCTCAGCATTCCCAGTGCAGGTTCCCAGTGCTCCCAGTGTGGGTTCCCAGCACTCCCAGAGCTCCCAGTGCAGGTTCCCAGTGCTCCCAGTGTGAGTTTCCAGCACTCCCAGCGCTCCCAATGTGGGTTCCCAGCGCTCCCAGTGCGGGTTCCCAGTGCTCCCAGTGTGAGTTTCCAGCACTCCCAGCGCTCCCAGTGCGGGTTCCCAGCGCTCCCAGTGCGGGTTCCCAGCGCTCCCAGCGCTCCCAGTGCGGGTTCCCAGCGCTCCCAGTGCGGGTTCCCAGCACTCCCAGCGCTCCCAGTGCGGGTTCCCAGCGCTCCCAGTGCGGGTTCCCAGCGCCCCCCCCGCCCCGCCAGGGTACAACATCTCGGCGCTGGTGACCGTGGCCACCAAGACGTTCCTGCGCTACGACAAACTGCGCGGGCTGATCGCCAGCATCCGCCGCTTCTACCCCTCCGTCACCATCGTGGTGGCCGACGACAGCCAGCGCCCCGAGCCCCTGTCCGGGCCACACCTCGAGCACTACCTCATGCCCTTCGGCAAGGTGGGCGCCGGGGGGGCTCCGGGGGCGGGGGGGGCGAGGGGCGGGGGTGGAAGGGGGTAGGGGGGCACAGACCCCTCACCGGGTTCCTCCGGAGTGTTCCCTCATGGCTTCGGCAAGGTGGGCACCGGGGGGGCACCGAGGGGGCACCGGGGGTCGGGGGGGACACGGTGGGCTGAGGGGAGGCGAGGGGCAGGGGTGGAAGGGGGTAGGGGGGCACAGACCCCTCACCGGGTTCCTCTGGAGCGTTCCCTCATGCCCTTGGGCAAGGTGGGGGCCGGGGGGGCACGGGGGGCTGAGGGTGGGCACAGGGGGATGGAGGAGGGGGGAGGGGGGCACAGAACCCCCCACCGAGTCCCACCCGGACCCCTTTGGCAAGGTGGGGGCCGGGGGGGCACTGGGGAGGGGGACACGGGATGGGGGCAGCGCTTTGAGGGGGGGCAGGGGGGGTCTGGCAGGGCTTGAAGTCCCCAGAGGTGGGGGGACAGGGGAAAGGGGGGACTGGCAGGGCGGGGGTCCCCATGGAGGGGGGGCACGGGGGCTGGCAGAGCCTGTGGGACCCCAGGGAGGGGGACACTGGGGAAGGGGACACGGGAGGGCTGACAGTAGTTGAGGTCCCCAAAAAGGGAGGACGTGGAGGTCTGGCAGGATGGTGGGACCCCGGGGGGGGACACTGGGGCTGGGACAAGGCTGGGGGTCCCTCGGGGACGAGAGGGCGGCTGGCAGGGCTTGGGGTCCCCCGAGATGGGGGGGGCAGGGCGGGTCTGGCAGGGCCACGTGGCTCAGGGGGGCCGTGGGGCCCCCCCGGGGGGTGTCGGGGGGTGTCTGAGGGTCCGCCCCGGCCCCCCCAGGGCTGGTTCGCCGGGAGGAACCTGGCGGTGTCGCAGGTCACCACCAAGTACGTGCTGTGGGTGGACGACGATTTCATCTTCACCCCCCGCACGCGGCTCGAGAAGCTCGTGGACGTGCTGGAGAGAACCAGCCTGGACCTGGTGCGGGCACGGGAGGCACCGGGGGGGCAGGCGGGGCCGGTGTGACCCCCGAGGTCTGGGGAGGGTGGTCCCGGTTGCCGTGTGCGGTGCCCGGTGCTGGAGAGAACCAGCCTGGAGGTGGTGCGGGCACCGGGGGGGGCACCGGGGGGGCAGGGGGAGGCACGGGGGGGACTGAGGGACAGGAGGGGCAGTGCCGGCTGCCACAGGCGGGCTCTTCTGGGGGTCCCGGAGGTGCCGGTGCCGCGGGTGGGGGACGTTGGGGGTCCCGGGGTTTCCCGGTGTCCCGGTGCCGGCACCGCCCCCAGAGCAGCCCCGTCCCGCGGGGGGGTGACACCGGGGGTCCCGGGGGTCCCACGGGAGGATGATGGGGGGGAGCGCCGCGGGGATCCCGATGTTCCGGAGCTGGCGCAGCCCCGGCGCGTTTCCCGTTCCCGTCCCGCGGGGGGGTCCCTGTGCTGCCGGGGGTCCCTGTGCTCCCGGGGGTCCCTGTGCTCCCGGGGGTCCCTGTGCTCCCGGGGATCCCTGTGCTCTCGGGGGTCCCTGTGCTCCCGGGGATCCCTGTGCTCTCGGGGGTTCCTGTGCTCCCGGGGGTCCCTGTGCTCCCGGGGGTCCCGCGCTCCTGGTCTCGGCACAGCTCCCCCCTCAGCTCCCGTCCCGTCTCGTAGGCGGGCGACGCCGAGGGTCCGGGGGGTCTCGGTGTCCGTCCCCGGTGCCGCAGGCGGTCGGTGGTCCCGGGGGTCGCCAGGAGGCAGCGATGGGGCTGGCGGGGGGTTTGGGGGTCCCGGTGCCACAGGCAGGCGATGCTGGGGGTCCCGGGGGGTCCTGGGGGTCCCAGTGTCCCGCTGCCAGCCCAGCCCCGGCGCGGTGGCCCCGTCCCGTCTGATCCCGGGGTTGGGCGACCCTGGGGGTCCTCAGGAGTCCCGGTGCCGCGGCTGAACGGTGCTGGGGGGTCCCGGGGGTCGCGGGGATCCCGGTGCTAGTGCAACCCCACCCCAGCAGCCTCTGGTGGGCGGTGCCGGGCGGTCTCGGTGTATCCCCCGTTCCCATCCCCGGCGGGCAGTCCCGGGGGGCCCGGTATATCTCCCGGGGGTCGCGGTGTATCCCCCGTTCCCATCCCCGGCGGGCAGTCCCGGGGGTCCCGGTGTATCCCCGTTCCCATCCCCGGCGGGCAGTCCCGGGGGGCCCGGTATATCTCCCGGGGGTCGCGGTGTATCCCCCGTTCCCATTCCGGTGTATCCCCGTTCCCATCCCCGGCGGGCAGTCCCGGGGGGCCCGGTATATCTCCCGGGGGTCGCGGTGTATCCCCCGTTCCCATTCCGGTGTATCCCCGTTCCCATCCCCGGCGGGCAGTCCCGGGGGTCCCGGTGTATCCCCGTTCCCATCCCCGGCGGGCAGTCCCGGGGGTCCCGGTGCAGCCCCCCCAGCCCCCGTTGCCCCGGTTGCAGGTGGGGGGCGCGGTGCGGGAGATCACGGGTTACACCACCACGTACCGGCAGCGGCTCAGCGTGCGGGGGGGCGGCGCGGGGGGCGACTGCCTGCGGACCCGGCCCGGCTTCCACCACCGCCTCGCCGGCTTCCCCGCCTGCGTCGTCACCGACGGCGTCGTCAACTTCTTCCTGGCCCGCACCGACAAGGTTCGCCAGGTGGGCTTCGACCCCCGCCTGCGCCGCGTGGCTCATCTCGGTGAGCGAGGCCGGGGGCCGCGGGGGGGAGTTGGGCGCGTCCCGGGGAGCCCCGGGGTCCTGACGGGTCTGGGAGGGAGGTTTGGGGGGGAGGGGAGGAGCAAGGGACATGGGGGGGGGCTGGGGGTCTGGGGGGGATCGGGAGGGGCTGGGAGGGTCTGGGAGGGTCTAGGGAGGTCCTGGGGGTGAGAGGACACCCGGGTGTCCCCACCACGGGGTCGTGGGGTCCCCCCACGATGGGCCCACGGGGTCCGAGTTGGGGAGGGTGCCGGGGTCCCCCCTCAGAGGTGGGAGGGGGATGCTGGGTGCCCCCACAGTGGGGTCAGGGGGTCAGAGGTGGGAGGGGGATGCTGGGTGCTGGGTACCCCCACAGTGGGGTCAGGGGGTCCCCCACCACAGGGTCACAGGTTCAGAAGTGGGGGGCTGTGGGGATCTCCCCCACAGTGGGCCCAGGGGGGTCAGAGGTGGGAGGGTTGCCAGGATCCCCTCACCAAAGACCCCCGGGGCCAGACGGGGGGGGGATGTCGGGGTCCCCCCCCAATAACCCCCCGGGGTCAGACGGGGGGGGATGTCGGGGTCCCCCCCCAATAACCCCCCGGGGTCAGACGGGGGGGGATGTCGGGGTCCTTCCCCAATAACCCCCCGGGGTCAGACGGGGGGGGATGTCGGGGTCCCTCCCCAATAACCCCCCGGGGTCAGACGGGGGGGGATGTCGGGGTCCCCCCCCAATAACCCCCCGGGGTCAGAGGCCGGGCGAAGGATCCCGGGGCATCTCTGAGCCCTTTCCGGGTGCCCCCCTCGCCCCCCAGAGTTCTTCATCGACGGGCTGGGGGTGCTGCACGTGGGCTCCTGCGAGGACGTGGTGGTGGACCACGCGTCCAAGCTGGCGCTGCCCTGGCGGCGCTCGGAGGGCGAGCGCCAGTACAACCGGTACCGGTACCCGGCGGCGCGGGACGACAGCCTGAGGCTCAAACAGCGCCTCTTCTTCTTCAAGAACCGCTTCAAGTGCATGGCCGGGGACTGACACGACCACCGGCACGGCCACCGGCACGGCCACCGGCACGGCCACCGCCCGGGGGAGGCTGACGGTGAGGTGACATGGGGACACCCCCAAGGGACACCCCACGGGCCACCCCCGGAGCACCTGCTGGGCCGCTGGCACCGGAGTGGCCCCCGAGTGGCCCCCGGGCTGTCACACCCCATGGGTCACCCCCAGAGTGGCATCACTGCCACGGACACTCCATGGGCCACCACCCTGGCCACCGGCCCGGCCACCGCCCAGGGGGTGCTGACAGTGACACAGGGACACCCCCAAGGGACACCCCCAAGGGACACCCCCTGGGCCACCGTCGCCAGCCACCCCCGGAGCACCCGCTGGGCCGCTGGCACCAGGGTGGCCCCCCGGCTGTCACACCCCGTGGGTCACCCCCAGTGGCATCACCACCACGGACACTCCGTGGGCCACCACCACTGGCCACTGCTGGGGTCCCACAGGGCCACTGAGGGTGGGATGACACAGGGTCACTGCTCCTGGACAACCCCGTGGGCCACCACTGCCCTCGGGGTGGCCACAGGGCTGCTGACACCTGGGTGACCCCCGGGTGGCCCCTGGCCTGTCACACCCCGTGGGTCACCCCCAGAGTGGCCACCCCCCCGTGGGACACCTCGAGGGTCACCACCCCCAGGCCACCACCGTGGGCCACCACCCCTGACTGTCCCCGGGGCACCCACGGGACACCCCCAGGGCCACTGACCCCCCCGTGGGCTACCCCCAGGGCTGCCATTGCTGGCCACCTCCAGGGCCTTCCCCAGGGCCACCCCCCTGGAGCACCCCTGGGGCCACCTCCAGGGCCACCCCCACCCAGGGCCACCTCCGGGGCCACCTCCAGGGCCACCGCCATCGGCTGCTCCCGGGGGTGCCAGGGGGGCACCGACACTGGCCCCACCCCCAGGGCCACCCCCGGGGCCACCCCCACCACGGGCCACCTCCAGGGCCTTCCCCAGGGCCGCCCCCCCTGGAGCCCCCCCGGGCCACTGCCATGGGCCACCACCCAGTGCCACCCCCAGGGCCACGCCGGGGTCCCTGGAGCCCCCCCGCCCCCCCCCCCGCGGTGTTTTTAGCTCTTTTGTACTTTGGGGGGTGGGGGGCGGTGTTGGGGTCCCCCCCCGGGGGTCGGGTCCCCCCTCCCCTGACTGTCCCCCCCTCCCCCCCGGTTTTCTATTGTACAGCCCCTCCCCCCGCGCTGCCCACGGGATTTTTGTGCCAAGTCTCGGCCCCTCCCCCCGGGACCCCCCCGGGACCCCCCCGGGACCCCCCGGGCCTGTTGGGGAAGAGGTTGGGGGAGGGGCTGCCCCCCCTGCCCCCCGCCCTTTTCTACCCAATGGATGGTGAGATTTTAACCAGCCTGAAATCGGCCTCTTTCTGCCCAAAAATGGGGAGGGGGGAGGGGGGAGGACCCACCCAGGCCCCGCCCCGTCTGGGGGGGCTGAAGGGTGAGGGAGGGGCTGTAGGGGATATAGGGGGGCTATAGGGGATGGGGCTGTAGGGGATATGGGGGGGCTATAGGGGATGGGGGCTATGGGGGATATAGGGGGGCTGTAGGGGATATGGGGGGGCTATGGGGTATTGGGGGGCTATAGGGGATGGGGGGCTATAGGGGATGGGGGCTATAGGGGATATGGGGGGGCTATGGGGTATTGGGGGGGCTATAGGAAATGGGGGGGCTATAGGGGATGGGGCTATAGGGGTTATGGGGGGGCTATGGGGTATTGGGGGGCTATGGGGTATTGGGGGGCTATAGGGGATGGGGGGCTATAGGGGATGGGGGGCTCTGGGGATACAAGGGCACTATGGGGTGCAGGGGGGCTGTAGGGGAGATGGGGAGATGGGGGGTGAGGGGGCGTGGCCCAAGCGAGGGGTGTGGTCTCACTGGGTGTGGCCTATGTGGGTGTGTCTCCTCGTGGGTGTGGCCTGTGGGGAAGGGGGTGGGACTTGTCCAAAGGGATGGAGGAGCCCTCTGGGCACCCCCTCCCCCCACCAGGGTCCGTCCGTGCCAAGGACACGCCAAGGACATGCCAAGGACACGGACATGGCAGGGACACGGGACAGGCATGGGACAGGGACACAGCAGGGACACGGGACACGGATGGCACAGGGACAGGGACACAGCAGGGACATGTCAAAGCCATGGAGGGGGGGTGGGACAGGGTGGGACAGGGACAAGGACACAGCACTATCCTGAATGGATGAACATCTGGAGAACAGACAGTCCTGGATGGACAAATATCCCTGAGAACAGACAGTCCTGGATGGATGAACATCCTGAGAACAGACAGTCCTGGATGGACGAACATCTGGAGAGCAGACAGTCCTGGATGGACGAACATCTGGAGAGCAGACAGTCCTGGATGGATGAACATCTGGAGAACAGACAGTCCTGGATGGATGAACATCTGGAGAACAGACAGTCCTGGATGGATGAATATCCTGAGAACAGACAGTCCTGGATGGACGAACATCTGGAGAACAGACAGTCCTGGATGGACAAATATCCCTGAGAACAGACAGTCCTGGATGGACGAACATCTGGAGAACAGACAGTCCTGGATGGATGAACATCTGGAGAACAGACAGTCCTGGATGGATGAACATCTGGAGAGCAGACAGTCCTGGATGGACGAACATCCGGAGAACAGACAGTCCTGGATGGATGAACATCTGGAGAGCAGACAGTCCTGGATGGACGAACATCCTGAGAACAGACAGTCCTGGATGGACGAACATCTGGAGAGCAGACAGTCCTGGATGGATGAACATCCTGAGAACAGACACCAGGTCCCTCCACCACGTTTTCTCCTCCCTTCCCCTGCCCCAGTGACCTGAGGTGACACAGAAGAACCTCCAGGTCCTGCCAGGACATTTCCCACCCCTTGTTCTGCCCCGTCTGTGCCATGCCCAGGTCCCACCCCCTCCAGCCCCACATGTATGTATATGTACATATATGCACACAAATACAGATACACACAGGCACAGGGATCGTTTCCACAGCCAATGGACGTCCCTCCACGATGTTTGTTGAGTTCCTTCAGCAGGTTCTGTCCATCCTGTCCATCTCCCGGGGCAGGAGGGCTGGTTCCAGCTGCCCCAGGAGCTGCCAGGGGGTGGGTGTGGAGCAGCCCTCGCTGTCCCTGCGAGTTGTGTCACTCACCACCAATATTACCAACGTCACGGGGTGTTCCCACCCCAGATCAAACCCCCTGCAGGGACACACCGCCTTTCCCGTCCCTCTGCATCCCCCGGGAGCACCCGGGGCCTGGAGCGAAACCAACCCCGCGGATTTGCCTTTGCTGGAGGCAGGACTGACCCGGACTGTCCTCCCTCACACATCCCTCACGTGCACCTCGGGGACTTCACCCCTCCTGCAGCCCCTGGAGGCCTCGTTTGGGCAGGGCCACCTCGGCTGGTGGAGCCCCTGCTGCTCCCTCGGAGGTGGCCTCGGCTAACGCGGATCCCGGTGTTTGAAGGTCCCACCCCACGCTGCTTCCCGGGGGGTTTGAACGGTCCCTCATCCCGTTCCATTTTCCCGGAGACTGGTACATGACAGGGAACACGGTCCCCCCCTCCATCCCGAGCTCTCTGGCCCAGGGCTCCATGAGGCTGGTTTTGGAACGAGTCCCGTTGTCCCACCCTGTTCCCTCTGGGGGCCACGTCCCCACAGGACTTGCTTTTCCAGGCCCAGGATGGTGTTCTGGGCAGTGCCAGGGGCTCGGGGGGTGTCTCCAGCCATCCAGGGGTTGTTCCCACCACTGTCATCGATCCCAGGCCTCCCCATACTCATATTTGGACCCTCACCCCCCATCCCACAGGGGCTTTACCCACTTGGCCCCTTGATCCCAGCCCAGGTTTCTCAGCCATGGAGAACGTGGGAGATGGTGTCCAGGGTAAATCCACCCCTCCATCCCCAGCCCATCTGGATGTCACACCCCTTCCCTGCTGACCTGAGGTGTCCTGGGTCCACTGATCCTGAAATAATTCCCCCTTGTGGTGCCAGTCCAGAGCCACCTGAGACACTCAAACCTGTCTGTTGTTGGGATGTCCTTCAGGATCCCAGCTCTGGGCTCCCTGTGCATCTCCACGATGGACTCTTACACCCAACCTCTCTCCCTGGGCAGCGATTTCTTGCCCCAGTGCACCAAAACCACCCCGGGTGGGTTTCCCTCTGCACTTCCCACTGGCCTTTTTCCGAGGATCCAACCACCCCCCTGAGGATTTGCCACCCCCGGGGTCAGGGACAGGCGGAGCCATTTCCGTCACTCAGGGACACCTGAAGTCGACTGGACGACCTTCAGCTCTGTCTGACCCCCCTCGGCCCTCGGCGGCTTCTGCCCCTGCCCACGTGGGACCCTGTGGGGCAGCTTCCCATGTCCGAGGGGTCCCGGATTTCCATGTCCGAGGGGTCCCAGCTTCCCATGTCCGAGGGGTCCCAGCTTCCCATGTCCGAGGGGTCCCAGCTTCCCATGTCCGAGGGGTCCCAGCTTCCCATGTCCGAGGGGTCCCGGATTTCCATGTCTGAGGGGTCCCAGCTTCCCATGTCCGAGGGGTCCCAGCTTTCCCTTTCCAAGGGGTCCCGGATTTCCATGTCTGAGGTGTCCCAGATTTCC